GTGCCCCATCGTCTCCTGCCGTGCCCCATCGTCTCCTGCCGTGCCCGCTGCTGCACTGTCGCGGCGGGTGCTTGCCATGCCCTGGCCCGCAGGGAGCCCAGCAGAGCCCTGCCAGAGGCAGTGGCCTCGCGTTCGCCTCTCCCGCGTTGTACAGCTCTGGGCTCGCTGCTGGCATCCCTCCCTGTCTGCAGGCCAGGGACACCTCCGGAGCGCTGCTCCCCACTCAGGAGCCGTTTCACCTGTGTCACAACGTTTTGTTGCCCTTTTTGCTCATTGAAATGTGTCCCTTCCAACTGGGGAAAAGGAACAGGGCTTAGCAATGCACATTCTGTTATTTTTCATAACAAATGAAGAGAGGGACCTGGACTGTTCTGTTCAGTGCAATTTCACCTGTACTGTTCTGTTAGCGGAGAAAATTTCAGGAGAGAATCATAGTGATGCTTCTGTTGCTGAAATCAGTGGTGAAATAAAAATTTAGCACAAGTTTAGGTAAGAAACAACTGAGGGAGAATGTTACTTATGAAACTATGTGATATGAAGAAGATGGGAAATAGTGTTTAGTTTCTCTGTGATGACACAAAAGACTTGGGGACGCCCAAGTGAAAGTACTGAATGGCAGGTTTGGTACAAATTAAATTACCAGTATCTTCCTAGGATGCATAATTAAAATGTGGCATTCACTGCTACATGATATTGTAGATACTAAAACTTATGCATAGTTTCTAAAAAGGAAAAATCAAGCAGCTGTCCATTTAGAAGTGTGGTGCTCCAAGAACCTAACCACTTTGGGAAGTCCAAAATACACAAACTGAGGAAAGCTCAGAGGGGAAATTTATTTGCTAACTAGCTATCTCCTATGTTCCTATGCTTTTCCCTAGGCACCTTTCATGGTCATCACTCAGAAATGGGATACCACACTATACTGGCCTTTTATCTGAGACAGTATTATGTTAGTGCTGCTTGAGGATTAAAGGTTCCACTTAAATGTGCACCCCTACTAGAGGCAGGCAATCTTATGCTTGTCAATTTATGTGTCTATCTACAGATTACTTAGATTTTTCAGTAATTTTATTTTTTCCCAGGAATATTAGTGACAAGCATTTGAGTTTACACTACTTGCTATATATGTTAAATAGGCTTCTGCATCTATGAAATGTTGGTTTTACCTTCATACTTAGTACACAGAACACCGCAAGCACTTTATTCATTCAATTCTTGTTCCTCTCTTGTATTTCACAACTTCAGGTAAAATACGATCTTTCTGATGAATAATTCTAAAATGTTCTCTGGCAGCTCAGTGGTGATCTTAGGAGAGGAGTACTGCATGTTTGTCAAACAGTTCTTTTCCGAAGATGCAAACATTAATTTTTGAAGCTACTGGCTACATATTGAGCTCTGAAGTTTGGTTCTTTCCCACAGAAACTTTCTGGGACCAGCTGATTTGATAGTGTCATTAACAATTCATAATTAATTAAACCATTGAATGGCACAGAAATATTTAAAATACTGGATAAAACCCTGGATTAGATTATGTTAAGATGTTGGCATGCTTTACTAGTAAGTCTTAAAATAATTTAATTTTCCTGATTCAGGGACTTTTTTACTGACCAATTGTATTAGCCAAAATACTTTCAAAAATACTTGATTCACATTTCTGTCTTTGAAACATGACTAAGAATGCCTTTGTTTAGTAGCCTACCTCTGAGTTTATATATATTTTTTTCCTTCCACTTATTTTTTGGAGAATTACAGAAGATTATGGGTCAGACTTATAGAGGAATTAGCTGCTTAATACCCCTTTGATTTCTCACTGAAAAAAAAAAATGGGATTTATTTAGCAAAATGCCTCTACAAACCTGAGTGTATGACATTTTTTTACAAAATCTTTAATAGACTATGTGAAAAATACTTGGTCTCACTTATTTTTCTCATGTATAATGTTTTTCTTGTCTTCCTGAAATAGGTAGAAACAGATGACCAAATAGCCCTCCTTAATAAGCCCAAGAATAAAGGAGGAAACAGTGATCTGGCATCAGCTGGATTTAACATTATTAATTCAATCATAGGATCAGGCGTTATAGGTAAATCTACTTTTCTTCACTATCCTGTGTTCAGCCTTGTTTATTCATGCATGACTGTCCAGCTTGGGGAAAAATAATACTGATTCTTTACTTTCTGCTGCTGTTTTTTAAGATTTTTCTCTGTATTTACTTGCTTACTTTGCAAAAATGCTGAGGTGTCAATTGTGACCACACTTTAGAGATAAATACCCCAGAGTCTCTTGGCCATAATGGTCAGAGAGGTTGGGGAGATGCTGACTAAACTTCATACTTAAGCAACACTTTGTCCACTGAAAATTATCTTTTTGAGGTTATGAAGCATGCTGGTCCAATTTTGGAGATTACTAGCATTTTTTTAAATCTGAGTTTTTATGCATCTTAATTCTCACAAATAAATGGTTGGAAAGAGTCTTCTAGAATCTCTCTTTTTCTGCTTTGCAGGATTGCCATATTCGATGAAGGAAGCTGGTTTTCCTCTAGGAATACTGCTTTTGTTTGTGGTTGCCTTAATCACAGGTACTTTGGAGGCAGTTTCTGTTGTAAAGATAAAATTGGTCATGCAGTATTTTAGCTTATCTTGAGCTTAATGATACCTTAAACAAGTATTATCTATGACAATAAAAATGACTAATTTTTTCCTTACCTCACTAACATCTTCAGCAGATTAGTAGAAGTAGAGAATTATACTGTACAACATATGAAGCTGCTTTTTTACTGCATTTGTTTTCATGAAGCCTTAGTTTCCTAGTTGAGGTAACATTTAAAAGAATATTCTTATTTGTGCCCTCATAATCACTTGTTTAGGTCCGCTGTTAAGAATGGACTCATTAAGAGACTGAATCCTGAGAGGGTTGTAAATTACTTTTAAAAATAGACCGCAGAATGAAAACCTTTAATTGTACTATGATTTTAAGTATTCTTCTGATATGAACCTATAGGTCCTGGTTTAGAGGATTGAGAGATTTTGTGAGATTTCTCATCCCTGCTCTTTCTAGTGTCACTGCTTTTCTTCTTACGGCCTTTTTTTTTTTTTTTTNTTGGTTAGAGGAGTGAAATAAGTTGAAAAGTAATCAACCACAAGTTGGTTCATATTGTCTTTATCTTCTTTTTTTATATATTTTAACAGATTATTCCATTATATTACTGATCAAAGGAGGAAATCTGTCCAGTACCAAAACCTATCAAGAGCTGGTCAAAAAAACATATGGTCTTGTAGGTTATCTAATCCTTTCAGTTCTCCAGTTTTTATATCCATTTATTGGTAAGATCACATACAATATAAATGTTTAAGTTCTATAAGTAACAAGCTTTTTTACATTTTGTCATTTCACTGATTGAATATTAAGAACTATGTAAAGAATGTACTGTATATGCTTCTTTGCTATTTAAAAAGAATTAAATTTATTTTGTGGATTCTGAAGAATGAGGAGTAATTCAATGAATTGAAGGATCAGAATAATAGAAATGAACTGAAATGTAATGCAGAAATGCGTGATCACACATATGAAAATGACAAAAGTAGCTAGAAAAATATCAAAGGAGATTCTGTTCTAGACTGAATACCACAGCACAAAGTTGATGTGTCTGAAAGAAAAGGAAAATACAAATTTAGGAGTATACTGACTTAGTATATTTTCAGAGATGCAATGTTACTGTAGTTGGAGAAGCCACTGTTTAGGTCTTGCTAGAAAATTATGTCATTGCTTTTCAAAAACATTAGTTCAGCCTCATATCCAGCAAAGTACTCGGAAATTGGGCAGTTGAGACCCCTTGGAAGAAGAAATAGTAAATGAACAAAAAGCTAACATCTCAGCAGGAATTTATTAGACCAGAAGTTTGAAATAAAGTTCTGTTCTGAATATGTCCCCTGCCGCAGCAACAAAATTCAATCAAATCTTAGATAGTCTTAATATTTTCACATGTGGGGTTGCAAGATGGGATGACTTGAGATATCAAGAGTCTGGACTTGGTGATCACGGAGTCACACATCAAAATTCCTATTTTGGGTCTGGCTACAGATAGCTGAGATTTTTAAGGGTGTCAAGTTGTTACTGCAGGGCAACAGTGTTACACATTTAATTATACTCCTTTGTAAACCAATACTCCGTTGTAAACCCTTGATAATACAGAGAAGTAATTGTAAAGGTCTTAGTCATAGCTATGGCTATGCACTTGTATGTGTTTGCATTAATTTATATAAGTAGAGTTGTTGACTTACAATTTCACAGCACTGAGTATTTATGTATAGTCAAGGTCAATACCTACATATATGCTGTCTAAATGCTGAAGACCATGAGAATGTATAAATATATTTTGTGTATGCATACACATGTGCACAAATTTACGTGCTCTTAGTGTAGAGTTAGATAAGAATGAAATGAGTGTTAAGGCCACAGCAATAATTAATGAGAGGGAGGAATCAAAGTCCATGTCTTAATCTATTTTCTCCTTCCTTTTTATCGTTTAAAGTTTGTTAGCTTTTTGCATGAGCTAGAAAATCTTTTGCATTTAATTGCAGAACTGATTATTAGACAACACACAGAAATTTACTAAATAGAAGCAAGCATTTGAAAGTAAACCGACAAAGAATTGCTATTTGAAACAAGCAGTTTTATAAAGCCTTTTTATCCTCTTCTGGAGTAAGTTTATATGTCTACTCAGCACAATGGCTTTGCTTATCAAGCTGCATTAATGCTTAGGTTGTACTTGTTTAAAAAAAAAACAAAAACAAAAAAGGAAGTGTTAATTTTTTTTTTAAACCTGAAACTTACAAGTTGTTGCTGCTAGCCAGAATATTAGAGGGATCGTGGCATATAATCCTGAAGTCTACAAAATGTGTGTTCAGTGTTAATCAAATATTTTGCATATGACTTGTACTAACAAAAAACTTATTTTCCTTAAGCTATGATCAGTTACAACATAATAACAGGAGACACTTTAACTAAAGTTTTTCAGAGAATTCCTGGAGGTAAGATGCATTTAAAAATTTTATGAATGGGAGATTTTATATTGAACAGAAGCTTATCATAAGTATTTTGGAATTACCTGTTATTTATCTTCATTTTTCTGAAGTTTAATTCAAATTAAAAACATTAAGTATATGTCCATGAGTGAGTTTTTTTGAGTTTGTTTCCCAAATAAAAGCTATGAATCCTAGTCCTTGGCTATCAGTGGACTCAGTGTCAGTGAAGAGACTAGATGCTTCAGTGAAATACTAAACAAATAGAATTGAGTCTTCCACAGTTGTGTATTTACAAGATTATTTGGTTTTGTAAATTTTTTTAGATACTTTCTATAATAATAATAATTTAAATAACAAAACTGTACTTCATCTAGTTAATAGTTCTGGATAAGTTGTGAATAATATAATGAATGTAATGCTTTTTAACTCATGCCCCCTTGTTTTCCTTCCTGTGCTCTTAAGTTTTCACAGCAACATCAGTGGAGCAATTTGTGTACCTTTTGATATCTACTTTAGTAAAAAAAGCAGCTAAGTTAAAACATTCTTCACTGGGAAAATAAACTGAGAGAAAATATGTCTGTAGTGAAGTGAAAATGTGAATTAGTATGAACTGTTTCATTTCCACAGGAGAACTGTAATTTTCAGCATGTGAAACCTGAAAGGTGTGAATGTAGTTTTAATTGTAACACTCTGTTGTTCTGTGAATACCTGATCAAATTGATAGTGACAGTGAATATCTAATAATTTATATATAATATGACTTCTGTAATAGGGGGAATCTCCAGCATGGCAAATCTTATTACTTATCCGTTAGAATACCTGACTGGAAAGAGGTGGGAAAGCTTTATAATCTCCCAAAGAAAAGAGGAGACAAAACACTGAGTTTTCCATGTCAATTGCCAGTCACTTTCCAGCCATAATTTTTCATCAAGTATTCATTCAATCCAATGACTTATGGTGGCCTCACTGAAACTTGGAGATTTTATTTTAGGTTGTCATTGGCTTGAAAAAACCCACCAGTTATGCAAAAAAGTCCCACTGATTGCATGGAATACTATAACAACATTGGTATTTTCACATGGTAATCTGCTTTGCAAGTGGAAGCTGGCTGATTGCAGGAAAGCAGCTGCCCAAAAGAAACTTCAGAATTATTTTAGGCCATTTCTTAGAGAGCAGTGCTATCCTAAACAGCACTGTAGTTGATGTCAACCCAGAGTATCAAAAAATTCTCAAGACTAAATGGCAGAAAGCAGTAGAATTTTTTACTTGCAGTCTCCCAGCATTGACCCAGACATAATGAAAGACATTATTACCAATCTATATGTAGGAATCCAGACTTTGCAATTTTGATTTAATATATCCCATATGTTATGCATTAGGTTTGAATTTGCAGAATTCTTGTGTTTGTGCCCATGCTGTGCATGGCTTTCCCAGTGTTAGTTAATGCCCAGTTTGCAGAATTACTTAGCCTGAGTAAAGAGAATAAAAGCTTGATCACCAACAGTTTTTTACTTTTAACCTTTCAAAAGTAGTTAATCTTTTCCTTAGGTTAGTCTCTTAAAGAAATAAATTATTTTCTTTTTTGCTTCAGTTGGGGTGGATAACGTGCTTACCGACCGTCACTTCATAATTCTTCTTACCACCATCATCTTTACCTTACCTATATCTTTATATCGAGACATAGCAAAATTGGGAAAGGTAAATCATAACAGCAGTTGATTTTTGGTTTATTGTTCTGTATGTCATTGAAAATAAGTGCCAGTCGTAACTTTGTCTAAATAATTAACAAATTCATTATACTACTCAAAGGACCACTTTTCAGCAGCTTACTGACTGAAGTCATGTTTTTACCTTTACAGGTATCTCTTCTTTCTCTGATTCTAACCATTGTCATCCTGGTTGTTGTGATGGTGAGAACAGTAACCTTCAGTCCACAAGTGTGAGTATTCTTACACTTGCTACAAAGTGAACTTCTGTTCATATATAAGCTCATATTTCACTATTGCATTTACCTGCACAGTTGTGAAACATGCCTGATTTGGAACAGATAATTGAAAAATCTCTATCAACAGTAATACAAAATGAACAGCTAAATATAATTAATCCTTTTTCATTTTTTCTTCTACTGGGTATAAGCAAAGGTCTCAAGACCCCTAGAGATAAATGGGAAATTATGGATGGCTAGTAGAAGGTGGGTCCTGAATCAACGTGTGAGATTGTCGGTCATTTGAGATTTTTTTTCCATTATTGTCAGATTAATGATTTACAATCATTAAATAGCTACTATCTTAGGAATATTTATTTTTCTGATAAGATAAATATAAGAATTTCATAATAAAAATAAAATATAAATACTGTGAATTTTTTAAAAACAACACAATAAGGAAAATCTTTATTTTGCCATTTGAGAAAACTGTATAATACAAAAAACTCTTACTCATGCATACTCTGAAAGTAGTATTTAACATTAGACATTGGAATGTTCTAGACAATTTAGTACACATAAGTATGTGTTGTGACAATATTTTTATTATTGTATTCCAAGAAAGTCTTAGGAATGTGTTATTTTTCCTGTAAGGCTTAGAAGGGCTGTCTTTCTCATCCTTTAAATGTAGAGATATATTAATAAAGATAACAAATTCTATTTCTGAATGTGCTTTTTTATTTATTGGAACAGATTTATGTTCTACTTCTTATGTTTCCCTAAGTAGATTCTTACACCAGGATTGTTTCATCCCCGTTAGGCACAATTGTTCGGTTGTATTACTGCAGTGGTACATGGGTTAATTGCAGGGTATTTGGGTTTAATGGTAGGAAGATGCCTGGAATAGCAGTTTCTTAAGTTGTACCAGATGATGTTGTCTATCATCCACAAAATCTCTCTCTCAGAACAGTGTGGAACTTCCCTCACCACCATATTTCTGGAGCAGCATGTTTTTCACACTGTGTCAAAGGAGTATTTAAAAGGTTAATCTCAAAACTCCCTGTTAAAAAGGGAAGAAACTATATATAATAATTACTGCTAACCTTGTTACTATGGTAACATTTCTTCTTCACAATTGTGATGCACTGAAAAATATGGAATGCATGATTTTATTTTTTCTTACAATATATGCGGTTTGGTTTTGAGTGATTCTGGAAGTTTTACTTCTTAATTCTTTAGAGACTTCCATTTCTGCCTTTACACTTCCTGTTTTCAAAAATGCATGTAGCAAGTTGATAAAACAGTTGGTAATTTTTTTTTCCTCACCAGCATTCTGTTAATGTCTATTTTTAGTATCTTTGCTATTTTTACTTTACAGTTAGACATAGGCATATACTTTAATTGTTAAAACTATCTACTATTTTGTTGTATAATGGTATGACTTTTTTTTGCAATGAAAAGAAAGAATATTGCTATATTTGAATATGGGTCTCATCATAGTACAAGTGAAACAAGTGAATTAACACATTTACTTTGAATCCTTATTAAAGTATAATAGAAGTTAGTTCCCAATGAGATTTTTAAAAATCATTATTACAAAATCACAGGCCTTGTATCTGTCATAAAGGAAAAGAATTTGTACAATCCTGGATAAAGGCTCAATGGGGACAAGAATATTTAATCCCCACAATTGTTATATGTCAGAACTGATTATGTGCCTGCCATTGATGACGGGTGATTGCCAAGATCAAACTAGACAATGCCATGGTTTCCCATTCTAATCCTTAACTTGCTTTTTCTTATGAATTCTCTCTGTGTATGACTCCATTTTATATTGGTTGCTTCTTGGCCTAACCACACTGGATATGGACGACAAACTATTTATGCTTTTTCAAGTGCTTGAAAAAGACCTCTAAAAAGCTGTAATTTAAGCCCCTTTGGGGACCCTTTCTATAGACTAAATAAGCACAGTTACTTTAGGGTTTCTCTTTTTTGTTATTTTCGGTGTTTCTAATCATGCTCAATGGCTGCCTTAAGTCTTCTGCAAATTCAAGTGGAATCCTGGTGCCCCAATTGCCTGGGATATTCCCTCTGAAGAGCAGAGAAGATGATGTATCTTAAATGCAGTGTTGTAAGGTTCCTTTCAACTGTATCCCTTGGGGATTGCCATGCCTCTATTTATGTAGCCTAGTTTGATGTTAGCCTCTTTGGAAAATAGCATTAATGTGCCTTGGGTTTGCAGTCTAGTAGAACTACCAAGCAGGAGATACTCTGCAGAACTGTTTGCTAGTGACTTTTCCTTTCTTTGATACTCTTCTCATGAAGTTTGGGATTTTTTTGTTTCTTTGTTTGTTCTCTCTGCCTTGTTCTTGAGAAGTTTTTTTATCATCTGCATAACTGTAGAATTTGTCATTACAGAATTGAATGCTGCTTTATCAGATGATTTCTCCAGTTACCAACATATTCATGATTTTTCTTTTTTCATCCCATTCTCTAGCATGATTGTGTTAATTGCACATTTCATGCTTTCAATTAAGGACATTTTTTGCTTTTTTTCCATATTCAAGTCATTGCTGAATACATTCAAAAGTACTGGACTCAGGTTAGGTTCCACTGGAATCCCATTTGGATATCTTCCTGCTTGTATAATTACTTTCTGAGTAGTAATCAGTTTTCATTTACCTTTAGATTTTTCAAGGTGAATACTTCTTCCCTTTGAGAGGTACAAGATCATTATGTGGAAATGAGAAAACACTTTTTGCTTACTGCAGTCCATGTTCTATTGAAAATTTAATCTTATTTGGACAACAAAGCAATAAAGCAATTTCTGCAATAATCTGAAACTTTCTGCAATGTTTTAGACCATCTAGAAACAACAAGATTATTACCGTTTTAAACAGGAATTACAATGTTTTGAATGTTGCTTCTTTTTTTTGTTTGTTTCCCTCTTTATTTGCTTTGTGTGTGGGACTGGTTGTCCAAGGACATTTTAGGAATGATATTGTCACATTCTGATGAGAAAAGCAAAATGTATTTAAGATGTGGGATTACTTGATTTAATTTATTACCTCTTATGACAAATATAAAACTGAGGTACTTCTGTTTTTCAGTTTTGGTTTTGATAACTATCATCCATAGGATTATTGTTAACTGAATGAATGATATTGTTAAATTAATAATAAACCTCCAGATAGAATACAGTGTTCTGGACTATTAAGAGTTTATTCTCAGTATTTTAAGATGTTGGATAAAAATACATTTTGACCCGATCTTTATGCCTATCTGCTTATGGCTGGTAATTTATGTACTGTGATCAGAAAAAACAGGTAACAGTTAACTCGAACTGTAAAGTGCAGCATGTTAATACTGTATGAAATAACTTCATTCTTCTAGCCTGAAACTAAAATCCCTTCCTGTCAAAAGAAATATTTTATGTTGCTTATAAAGAAGGATCATTTTAATTTAATTTGGTGTTCTTTAGGAAGAATGTTATGATGTCAGTGTCTCCATAATATATAAATGTCTATGAAAAACTTCAAGAGCATCTGCTACACATAAAGAGAATGTGAGAATTACTGAACTGGCAGCTGATTCCAGGGATAAAACACCAAGGGCTCAGGAAAAAAAACTTTAAAGTAAAAAGCTGATTCTTTCCTTCACGTAAAAAATATAGTAGTAAGCAAAGGTAGACTTTAATGTATGATGAAATTAAAGAAACCCAACCAAGCTACTTTATATTTACAGAACTGTTAAGTAATTCATTAAGGAAGAAAGAAGAGTAGATGTAGCTGTATCTAAGTTGGGCTGACATAATAGCTTTGCCTTGTCTGTGTTCTTTCACAAGATGACTTTGATTAATATAAAATCCAAGCCTAATGTGAGCTGTATTTATTTTCTTTCCATTGTATTGATTAAAGTTCTATTCAGCATCTGTGAACTTTTCAGTATCTTCAAACTTTTAAAGTTCAAAAAGACCTAGAAAGTTATTTTACCTTAGAATAGAATTAAATTGAAATGTTACAATTAATTTTCTAAATATTTAATCATTGAATTAAACCTGAAAGAATCTATGAGGTGATTCTGGATTATATTGTTAACTGCTGTTTTGCACCCAAACTTGGCAGTTTGACATTGATCTTTAATCCAAAACGATGGAAGTCTTTTGTGCATTCCCTCATGTAGCTTCCCTGTCAAAAATATGACTATTCCTCTCTAGAAATCACCTTTCTCTTTTCAAGTCAGTGTTTTATAGCCACAAGCTGGTTGAGATCAGGGATATTTCTTATCTTCATTAAAGATGTTTTGCTTCTCATGCACTCTTCTATTGCAGCATTTCTATATAAATGACAGAAAAGATTTTTGTATATCATCAATCTTAAAGTGGGGACTATTATTCTGCAGGTGTTTTACAAGAGGTAAAAGAGAGGCCATCTTAGACTGCCAAACATTTGCCCAACTCTTACTCATGATCTGGATGCTTACAGTGTTAGGATGTCTTATTCTCTGCCTGGTTCGTTCATCTCAATTTCCCCATTCTTATGTAGATAATGTTTTCAAAACTTTTTAGAACTTTAATTTGTTTATTATGGTATATTTTCACTTACATATATTGAAGACTTAATAAAGTTTTATTTTCTTACCCTCTAGGTCTTCGTCATTGCTAGGCCTCACTACCTTCAGTCTGTCTTGCTTTTGTCTTAGTTTGTCTTGCTTAGTTTCAGCTAAGACTTTTTCCCCGTATGTGAACTCCCTTAGACTGTCTTTTTACTCAGTATTTTACTATTTTTGTTCCAAGAGCTACAGGTAAATTCCATCTCAGGTGTTACTTTGTGTTTCAGCTTCTACTATATATGATAGACAGTACAGCTGTCAGCAAGTGCATTTGTTCAAAAATGTATTTCTTCTCTTACCTTTCATTGTTTCATCTAACTCATATTTCTTCAGTGTGAAAAAGGCTTCCTGTTCATGCAGGCATAGTCTATGCTTTTATACACTGAGTGAGCAGCAGAGAGCTAGCTGAATCTGTCATTCACGGATTTTCAGAGCTAATGCTATTCTTGTATAAGCAGCAGTTAAAATCTTCCCCTAATAACTCCTAAAAAAAATGTAGGTCAAAAAAAAAATCCCCAAAAAACAAAAAAAAAAAAAAAAAAAAAGAAAAAGAAAAAAATCTTGAACAGTAGCAGAAGGATTGAAAAACCACAAGAAGTTATCCTGTATTCTTGTGATACTCTTTCAGTGTGTGCATGCATCTGGCTACAGAGATGCATATATTAAATCAATTTGTGTATGTTTTCTTTGACAGATGATGTTTACATTAGCTGCCCTTTGGCTTGTGAGTGATTTTATATGATCATTCATTATATGGCTCCTCTACAGCTAACACCTACTGTTTTCTGGCACAGTTTTTCTGAGAAGTCTTTCTATGAAGTCTTATCTTATATGGACACTTTCATGTCACCTGCATCCTTTCCCATGTTGTTCTGCAGACTGAACTTGGGAGTTATTTCTCACTGATGTGATCACAGTTCTAAAACTGTTGACTCTCTGTTCCAAACACTCAGAAATTAAATTTTTGGCTGTGTGCTTTCACTGCATGAGGTCCCTCTATTCCCACAATATGAAAATATTTTTCAAAGCACATGCAGCAGTCTATGAGTTGCTGAAGAAAATAGCACATCTGTACCAGCATACATTGTGGGACAGTACAAGCTGCTGGTAGTGTTCAAATTAGGGATCTGGAATTCTTCCTTTATTCTGCAACTAGAATAGAAGGAATTTATCTTCTTAGGCTGGTAAATAAGCAGGATTTTGTTCTTTTTTCCCCCTAATAATACTCCTAATCTGATTTGTCCTTCATCAGTAAAGCAAAACAATATCTTGGTCTTTTGCATATTGCTAGTGCATAAGCTAACACTGTGCAAGGGGAAAACCAGCTCCTGTGTTTTTTTTTTAATTATTTGACCACTTAATTAAAAGTATTTCGAGTGAAATTCATATACTTTCTGAATTACCTTTTAAAATCTGTATTTGTAGGAGCTCATAATGCAGCTGTAACATTGCACTGGATATACCATTTTCACAGAAATTAAATGTGTTTCAGGCAAAAGCATTCTTTATTTCTTTACATTTAAAAACATTTGGTTTATAAGGTATTAAATAATCTAACTTTATTACTACTAGGAAAGAGCCAAAGAAAACTTCTGATTCAGAGGAAAATATAAAACAATTTTCATTTTGTATGTTTATTATCAAAGCTGACCTCTAGTGGTTACAGAATGGAATAAATGGAGTGTTAACTTCCTTTATACTCTTTTTATTTTGAAATCTTATTGCAATTTTTCCAATCAGATGTGAATGTTTTCCTTAAAAATATTACATTCAAAATTATTAATATTAATTTTCCAAACACATCTCTAGGTGTAGTGATTTGAAATGAGCGGTGCTCTAATATTAAGGGAACATATAAGGAACCACAGCAGCTGTAGGGGGTCAGAACTCCTATTTCTCAAGACAAATACCAGATAGCTCTATTTCATCCATACTATTTTATATCTACTTGTTGAGTCGGAGAATATTTCAGGAGGGCCATATTCAGCTGCTGAAGACTCGAAGCAGTATGTTACAACAGTTCAAGACAATATACTGTACTTGAGGACAAAAGAAGGGAACTTGATTTTGTGTTCAGGTTCTGGTAATTTCAAAATTAAACTTAGCAACTGCATCGTAAGAGCTGAAAAGCTGCTCAAAGTCTGAACTGAATGTGCATTAGGTACTTTAAATCTGGGCTTTATTAATATGAAAAAGGAAGAATTGGCTATTTGAACTCAGGAAATAGTAAAATATGAGTTCTGAAAGAGGAAACTTCAACTTTTTATATTTTTATTTTGACAATTTTATTTTAATCTGTTTATTTTTAGGGGCTGGAGGTGTAATTTAAACATTTGAAAGCAATGAAACCTGGCATAGCATATGCCACTGCATCTGTCAAAACCAGCAAGAGGGAGAGATCACCAAAGAGAGGGAGAGATAAAGCTGCCATTGTTACCTTCACAGAACTGGCCTGAGTGCCATACTGCTTCCTAGGGCAGTAGGAAAAGAGCATCTTAAGGCCTTAGGTGGCAGCAGTTTTCCCTCTAAATAAAAACAGAGCAATCAAGGTTAGCAGTACCCAGCTTTTTAAGAGCAAGCTTCTCTGGATCGTTTTTCATTGTCTATGCTTTAATATTACAAATTCAATATTTAACTAGCTTATGAATTTCATTTGATCTTTTTAGCAAACTGTATTTCTGGAGAAGGATGTTTTGTGTCCTTCCCTGTTTTTTTTCTTTTTGGCTCTTTATTCCAAGATGAAGTTCATGCAGCAAATGGTTTTTAAAAAAGTTTGCTTATGGTCCTGCTCTAGGCATTGCAACTATCACAGATCCAAATCTATGAGCATATCTTAGAGGAGGAGGTGTGGGGAGTATTACATATTTGCCTGACCCTAAAAGTCTCCATGTACTCTCTTTCAATTTCTTTTATGTTTTGGGAAGTAGTGGAATCTCTTTACTATAAGGAACAGTTGGAAGAGGTGTAAAGAAAGGCAAACTCCCTCACTTGATTAGTGAGTAAAATTTAGCCTAGTAAAATGGTATCTCTAGAGTGCATCAATTACATGTTTAAATTCAAAGGTAGAAATTGCCTCTAAATAGTCAGAGTCATTTTCAGTTGAGATATTCAGTGAGAATCAGTAACAGCTTTTACCTTCCATCTTGCTGTTTCTTGGTATATGCTGACTTGAAGAGTTTATTTACAAAACTGAAACAGGCTGAGAATTTTTACTGGAAACACTGGTTATGGAAATACTTTAATCAAAACAAGGGAGATGAGAAAGGTATCTCCCTGGTTTCAGCTTGTTAATAAACACTGGGGCTCTGTCAGGGAGTAATAAGTAATATTTGAAAAGAGGGTAACCTATTCAAATGTCTGTTTTAGACCCAAATCAGAAAATGCATGGATATTTGCAAAACCAAATGCAGTACAAGCCATTGGGGTGATGTCATTTGGTAAGTGTTTTTTTCTGTTTGGATTTTTTTTTTCAATGTTAAGATCAGTTGTAAGAAACTATTTAATATTTTGAAACTAGAAATTGTAATACTAATGTTAAACTGGTGTTGAAAAAAAATTGTCTGAATGATCCATATGAATGTCATTGTTGTTGTGTAAGACATTAACCTCATCCATTTTCCTTTTGGCCCTGGAGGCTTGCCACCGTAGCAGAGACAGTGTGCAGGTGAGTGCAGTTCACCTGTGCAGGTCATCCCAAAGGCCCTGCATCAGTGGCTTTGTTTAACTGTAACCTGAGGGGGCTGGGATCATTCTGCATTCCCTTGGGTAACCTCTAACAGAAAAGTCCTCATTCTGAAATCTGTTCCTGCCTGCAGGATCTGGTATATTATTTCTTGTTAGCAATGTGATAATCTGAGGCATCCCAATGATTGCTGCTGCCTAAAATGGATGCCATATGAAGTCTGACAATAGCAAATGCCTCTGTAGATTTAAAAAAAAAAAAAAACAACTTCTCAAATCTGCTGCTGGGTTCTTAAGTAAAAGAAAAGCAGGAGGAGGAAATAGCTGTGGAATGGAGATGTGTAGGGTGGGAAATGGCATAGCATTTAAGGATAATGTAATCAGAATCATCTCGGGATGAATATAAACCTTCATCAAATCAACTAAGCAAGCCATTTATCTTTGCCACTCATTGCAAGATTAATGTTTGTATTTAATAATGAATGGATTCAAACTGCACTGTGTCTCTGTGCATTTATGCATGAATTCATACATTTGCTTTAACTGTCATGTGTGTTTCAGCATTCATCTGCCATCATAACAGCTTTCTAATATATGGGTCTCTGGAAGAACCCACATTAAAGAATTGGTCTCAAGTCACACATATGTCTGTGGCCCTTGCTCTTGTCATCAGTGTAGTGTTTGCTACCAGTGGATATATGACTTTTACAGGATACACAGAAGGTAAACTGCTTGATCCCTCAATTTTGGTGCTTGCTATAATCCTTATGTTTCTGCTTTCCTGTCTGATTTTTTCTGTAAACATCTCGGTGACTGTAAAAATGCAAATATCATAGTATATTTGGGCAGAAATAGTACATTCATCATAGTTACCCAACAACCAAAACTTGATCCAAAAACGTCATCTACATTCTAGTAGGTGTCAGATTCTTAAGCATAAACCTCACTAGTGGAAGTCCCATTTGAATCATTAAAAACACTTTGAGGACTACACAGCCATGATTTATCCACATGGTCCAGCAGCAGAGAGCAGTAAGAACAAAAATTTCCTACAGGGTATCGGGTATATATCTGTGTATATTTTCTTACCATTTTTCTTGTTTGTACTAATACAACAGTCTAGAGTTAAAGATACTTCCTATCTTTTCAACAGCTGTTCTGGTGTTACTAATCCTACTGTCCCCTCTGTGGGTATATTAATACACAAAAATACATATAACCAATGTTGCATCATGCTATTTAACATCATTTTTCTGATGTGAAAAAGGTATGTTCATAAGAACAAGGTATAAATTGGTTTTAGTGCATTACTTTCTTCAGGATACACATTTCATAAGCAAGCATATTTTCTGTTACTTAATAGTGACATTCTGGATTGTAGGAGAAGGCTTCCAAACTTTTTCCTTTTCTGATGAGCAGCAGCATTTAGTTGAGAACAGAGAAGTTGTAAGATAGGGACTCCTGGTTTCTCTGTCCTTTTTTCCTGCCTCCAGTGCTTAGTTCAGCAGAGTAAGTCACTGTCCTAGATGTGCTGTAGCTAGACTGAACGCAGGCTGGCTGAGTGCTTTCAGGTACAGACAGCTCTGCCTGCACCTCCTCCTCAGCTTATGACTCCTATGGTAGCAGGTTCCATCTCACCTTCAGTCTCCCCTGCCAAAATCTTTTGGCTATTTAAAGTACACCTTATTGCTTCTTCAGTGCCATTGCGATTATTTAAATAGTAAATCATGAGACAGTATCGTAGCCACATAAAAGAGAACTGATAGATCATCTGGTCACTGTCTTGCACTGTCTCTTGTGCTTCAGAGATCATTATTACAGATTCTTTGTGGTAAAAACCAAGCAAGATTATTTGAATTTTATAGTGATGCTTTTGTTTTTAGATATAGGATGATTACCGAGGTAATAATCCATATATTTTTAATGGGCTTTTGAGGTTAGAATATTTGAAATTCTTTTCTACAGCTTATTAGCTGTGATTAGATACTGTTGGGGAAATTCAGTTCTCCACAGGCAACTCTCACCTTTTTTAATGTAATTTTTGTTCTAGGAGTTTTTACGGAAAATTTATCTTCTACATATAAGCTTTCTTTTTGAATCTGTCACATATTTATTTAATCAAACACCAGCATCTCATACAAAATCTATGTTGTGGGGAAGATAACAGATGACAAACTCTGATATGTATATTTTAAAATACTTTTTGTAGATAAATGCTACTTGAGGTAAAAACACTGCTTAACCAGCAGGATAAGCTGAAAGTTGCTCCTGGACATAACTTGTGACTATAACTAGTTTCTAGTTACATGTCAGACAAGGGGATCAGAAAATCTCAATTACTCCAGTAACCTGCACTTCAAGTTGCAAATACAGGTAAATGTGAAGTTCAGGCTAATTGGTGTTTTGCTGTACCTCAGGAGATATATTTGAAAACTACTGTAGAGATGACAACCTTGCTACATTTGGAAGGTTTTGTTATGGAGTTACTGTAATTCTGACCTTCCCCCTTGAATGTTTCGTGACCAGAGAGGTAAGAATTTATTACATTTTTCCCCTTAACACTGTTGTTATATATTAATAATATTGTCACATTCTTAATACATATTGTAGCTGAAGTCTATGGTTGATCTGTGATAAACAGCAGCATATTTTGTCCTGCTATGTGCAGTGAGTACGGGGAACTAGTTGTACTGTTTAGACCCTGGCCATATAATGTTATTTTACGTTTATTATAATGTTAGTCAACATTATATTAATAATTACTTAATAATATTAAGACAGCTTAAGATTTCAAGTTTGGCATAAATGACACTGTTTTTACTGTATTGAGAATAGCCAAAAATACATACTTTTCAATCTTAATAGTTTTTCATTTTAGAAGTATCTCCATCTAGGAAATTCATCAATTCAATGAATAATTGTAAGTGGATTTATTCTGTAATGGGCAAATGGGAAATGAGCAAATTCTGAAATCCTACAGGTATAACTAAGTCAATTTGGCAAGTGTTCTGCAATTTTAGTTAGATTGTTATGAGTAATTTTTGGAAGCAGATGAAGATGTTTTCTTGAAGCAAGGTAAGTAAAATTAAGCCACTGTATTCTCACCCATTCCTATAGTTTCCTGAGGTTAGAAGATTTAGAGTAAGTTGTTGGATAACATAAGGAGAAAAATCAAGGTTTAAAATTGTTGTTCTGTTTCAGGTGATTGCCAATGTGTTTTTCCATGGGAACCTCTCAACAGTTTTCCATGTTGTTGTGACAGTAGTTATCATTGCTGTGGCAACTGGTGTATCATTAGTGTATGATTGCCTTGGAATAGTTTTAGAGCTGAATGTAAGTGAACCTGCCTACTCTTCTATTTAATAAATCACTTATTAATAAATAACTTTCTAAAAACCACAGCTCTACTGAAAATCTTACATAATTTGACATAGTCAGTAGTAGTGTTAGAAGAACAAATTACTGCTTCAAAAACATAACTAAAGGTGAAAGGAAGTTCAAAAAGTAAAATTCATGTGGTTGAGGAGGGTTTTAGAACAGTTTTGTAGATAAGGCAAGTGGCCATAACCTACCTAATGTGTTAAGCCACATCAGAAATCACTGAATCCACAGGTACTGAATTTAGCATTTCTTTCTCTAGTCCCTGCTTCTGATTATGTTGGCAAATTACTTAACACCAGGGCACATTCTAGTGACTGTCTTGTGCCACAGGGGCAAAAAACAGAAGGAGGTAGAAAGAAAGAACCAGTAGTAGCTAGACCACAGAGATGGTCACTGGAAATATACAATCAAAATCAAGTGAAAAAAACCAAGCATTCATCAATGCAGTGTTTTGTTTGTTTTTTTTTTCCCTAAGCAGTTAATCAGTAGTCAAGCTGATAGCTTTATTCAGTTACAAATAGAAGTTGGTAGCCAGGCATTTGCATGGGTAGGTCCTATCATTTTTACTTTTCCTTTTTACGAGAGAATTTGACAATGCAACTGTGGGTATTTATTGGATGTAATAGTTGTGCTCAGAAAGATTGTTCAGTCTTGATATCTAGCAATAGGGAAAAATTAATAGACAGCGTATTTTACACGTGAAAGAAAGGTGATCTGTCTTTTCCGCTGGCTTTCAGTCAGCAGAAGAGCTGTCTTTTGGCTCTTCACCACAGATTCCATTTGATACTAATTCTCTGACCCTGCTTACTCTTTCCCAGCTTTCTGATTTTAGAACAAAACACAAGCCATTGTGTTTTCCTGGTGGTAATACCCCAGAGAAACTATTGGGTCATATGGGAGTCAAAGGGCCACAGAATTTTCTTTGTTATTCTTTTACTAGGGTGCTGGTTTGTGTTACTTCACAGACCTAAACCTTAATTTTCATGGAGGAGATACTTTGTGCTTGTACCTATTTCTGATGTCTATACTGATCACTGTTAACAGGTTCTACCATACAAATATTGGAAGTTTTGTACAAATGATGATGTAAAGTTATTACTTAGGCTGGATTACTATCTGGCCATAATTAAATTGAAACACAGTGTTTGGTAACTATGTAACAAAATAAACACTCAAAATTTCTACATAAAATTGTGCTCTTGTGGCATGTAACTCATATGCTAATCTACAGTGGCTTTACTATAAAAAGAATTTTTGAAAGTGCTTTTTATTTGTCCCTTTCTAAGAGAGCATTTGAAGAGGAGCTGAATTTTTAGTGAGAGGAAAGGTTCTGCTCTGTCAGAAGGAGCTTTGCTTTCATAGGGAAGTCAACCTAAATCATGTTATAAATGTCAAAACTGATCAGAATTCTTTGAACTGCGACATGATGCTTCCACTTTTCAAAAAATTTTATTCCTTTTAAAGGCAGTGTTATATCTAAACTCCTCCATAGAATTATCTTAAATATTTTAATTCAGTTCAAGTATTGAAGAACTATGTTTGGACTTTATCTCTTAAGCTGAGGAACTTTGGGTAATAAGATTAAATGTTTCTTGCAATGTTAAAATATTATTCTGTGTCAGCAAAGCAAAAGCATTTAAATAAATCTTAGGTATTGGAAATAGTTTAATAGATATTTTTGCATATTTTTGGGACTTTTTTTTTTAAAGGTTTTCCATATAGCAACACAGGGAAAGGCCTTTATTCTCTGTTTTTACTGTTGCATCAGTCTAATCACAACTGTTAAAAAATTTGGGTGTTTGTTCTTCACATCTAAATAAACATGCTTATGAGGTTTTTTTCTATTTCTCTTTCCCACACACAGGGAGTTTTGAGTGCTACCCCACTTGTTTTTATCATCCCATCAGCGTGTTATCTAAGGCTATCCAAGGAGCAGTGGAACCATTCAGATAACCTCATATCCTGCCTGATTCTTGTTCTTGGTGTGCTAGTGATGGCAGTTGGGTTTGTCATGACTGTCTTGCATCCCCAGACATGTAGCCATGGAAAAGAAATGTTCTACTGCTCCCCTAGTAACGTTTCTTTGCACAACAGCACACTTCCACCATAGTAGCACACCAACCTCCAGACTAGACTGGGCGCATCGCACCCTGAGCCATACACACCAGTTAAAAGGAGAGTGGAATAAAGTTTTTTTTATGTTTTGAGATGCATGAATTTTAAACTGTATAAAATTTATATAAATGGTATTTACATACTTGATTTTATGCTGCCATCATTTTTCAGGTAAGATTCCGATTTTAACTGTTAAACACAAAATCTCAGAGGTGCCTTTCATTAGACATTACTTGAATAACTTGCAAGCCTACCAAAAAGGTTGCATTTTTTAACCTTAGTCTGCAAGGCTGTTTACAAGTGATAAATTAAATGTTTTGGAATATAAAACTTTCCCATGTTTCATTGATTTAACTTAGCTTTTATTAATTTTAAAATCTTTAATATGTATTTATTAGCACACTATAGTATGGGGGTTTTATGAAGTCCTGAGAAAATGTATTTCTGGATTTCTGTGTACTGCAATTCTGCTATTAAATCAAAAGACCCTTATTAATTCTGTATTTGATTTTGCAGTAACTGTCCTTTAGAGCTGAAAGCTTCCCTTTTACTGGATCTTGAGTCAAAGGAAACTTTGTATTCTGACTGAACTGTAACTGATACAATTTAATTGTAACTGTTACAATATGTGGTCTTATTATTGAAAAATACTGCACAAATAAATTCACAAGAGTGGATTTTAAAAATTCAACTAGGCAGTCTTTGTAAAAATTTCAAGATTGATGAAGAAGGAAATTACATTGCAGCTCAATTCTTACATTTATACTGCTATTCATTATTTCTGGAATTGAATGGAAACTAACATTCTAAACCTAATTATCATTCTAGTCCTCTGTTTCATTTCAGTGTATGACTAAAGATTTTGTCATGGTTTGTCAAATTTTGGTGATTTGTTAGCGTTTTCTAAAATTCATTTAACCAAGGATTCATGTGTATATATGTATGTCTATAAATATACATATATACATAAGCATATATATAAATACTCACATGCCTATAGAATAGGACTCATTTGAGGCTGAATAGTATGAGTATCCTCAGTCATATCAATGCTGTCATTTTCAAAATGTTTTGTTACCAAATCAGAATGTGAATCTGAGTTAATTTTTGCATTATTGTGATCCTTATGGTTCCTCATACCAGCTAGATATGTAATGCTACTTCATTTTTATGCTGCTTAATGGGGATGGTTTTTGTCTTCATCTTACATGACAAAGCTATGTCATTCAAGACTTCCAGCTAAACAAATGTGTAAGCAAGGGTCACTAATTGGTGATAATACTTCTAAGAATAACACACTTTAAAAAAAGTAGTGCTTCCAAAATAAATGCTTTAACTATACTGTGGTTTTTTTTGTTGTTTCTTTGTTTTTGTTTTTGTTTTTTTAAGTTGTAAAACAATTAGAGGGAAGCATGAGTATTACTCTGCTTTCATTTCTCTACAAAATGTCAACTTTGAGGGTGATAATTTATTTGTTCTCCAGGTACCTGATACTGTTCACGAATAATATTTCTCATCAGTTTAGATTCAGTAATAGCTGATTTTGTCTTAGCTCTGTGTGAATTGTTACTGAATAGATTCACCTTCTTCTATGCCAAATGGAGTCAAACCCAAATAATATTTTCTTGTGACAGCCAAGGAGATCTTTTTGATCAATCATAATTCTTTCATGACCTTTGTTGTTCTTTATTTTTCTGATTTTTTTTAATCTTAAAGCAGGTTACCTTGTTCCAGATATTAATTATAAACTATAGAGTGTCAATGGAATAATTTCCATCTCAATCTGCTTGAGGTTATGCTGTTATTAAATCATGTTTGCATGTCCTTTATGAAGGATGAGTCTTTATATGCTTTTCTACTTTATAAATGGAAATGTAAAGAATTTCTTTTCACTGTTCTTTTTAATTTTTGAAGTGTAAAGTTTGAAGTAGTAACGGTCAGTTAAATGTTTTTGTTGCTGCTAAAGCTTCTTTTGCTCTTAGAAGTTCCTTTTGCCAAAACTAATCAAATTAATGTAATCATATGCTCAGAGGTTTTCATTTGTGAATTTCCCAGGTGATGATGGGGTTCTCCCAGACATAAGTATATTGAAAATGGGAGGTTGGATGTCACAGATGCCGGAATTTAAAGTTAACTGCTATTTGCCTAATGGCTTTATAAAACCTACCATCCCTTCTTTTCCAATATTGGATAGTGAAGCTTCCCTTTATTGAAATGACAAATAACAGCAATCTGGTAAATCCCTTCTTAGAACCTAGGAGGTCCAAATACAGAAAGATAATTCATCATAACAAAAATTCTGATAATGATTTTTTTCTGCAAACACTTAAGACTCCCCAGAATAACATTGAGATGCTCTCACTGGCCTTAGCGTGTGCAGGATCTCACCACAATCTTAGTACTTCAAGCAGAGGTATGCTGGGAGTAGCAATATCCCCAGCTCCAAATGCTCAGTGGTGACAGAACTCCACAGTTTGCATGGAGGGAGAAGAATGTTCTACAAGCACATGCTGGCAGGATTTTCATATCCAAAGCTGGTAGTGTGACTCACTGTTTCTCCAAGTTCCTGTCTCCAGCTGAGAAGGCATTTCAGGACACCAGATGTACAATTACCATTCTCACAGGAGCTAAACTGACAGTTTATGACTTTCTAGAGCAAAGTGCTTCTTAGCAATCACAGAATTCTGAGCATTCACAAAATACTTCCTCCTAAAATTTTGTCAGATGCCCAAACTCCATGAACTACCTGAGACTTTCTAGAGAATTTTTCTTCCTCCTCAAATTTCTCTCTGAAGGGGGAAGCAAAATGGCTCAGGTTTGCTAAATGGATGTATTTCTATATATTTTTCACCCACAAAATCTTTTTATCTCATATAACATACATATATCACATATATTTTCCGCATCAGATAGGGGAAGGTTATTTATTTAATACACTAGTATTTGTGACTCACTGGAGAACAAAACTTAAAAAGTAGTGTGAAGATTTCTTTGGAGTCTGGTGGGAACATGAGGTAAAAGGGAGAAAATAAAAGTGGTAGGGTAAACAAATCAAATATTAGGAGTGCAAAACATGAGACTGAAAAATTAAAACAATGCACAGAAGAGTTCTACTTTTTTAGTAGTTATATCTGTTATAAGATCTAATTTTAAAAGCAATTATTGGGTTTTGGATTTTTTTTTTCAAGAATTGATGTAAATTCTAAAACATTCAAGATTTCAAGAGTTGAATTCAGGACAGTGAAGGAAATAAGTAGCAGCTTTCTAGTTTCTGTTATTCAGTGCTGTTGGAGAAGTTGAAATTTAGGTACTTGCTTAATACATGACTCAAAACTCTTTATGAAGAGAAAGTAATCTGTATGGTTATTCCTCTTTCTGCTTATCTTTCTGTTTTCTCCTGACTAGATGTTGATTCTAGGTGCTTCATAAGGCAATACCATATGGAAAAGCTATAGTTGCTGTATGGAATTCCAAAATAGCATTCAAGAAAAGTTCAGGAAGGTCTGAATTTTCACATGTGATTTCCTAAAAGAGACAGTATCCACTAAACACTGCAAATTCCCTGCAAGAGAATGGACTTACTGTATTAATACAAATAGAGAAGTAATGAACTAAAGACAAAGAAAGCTAGAAACAAGTTAAAAATTACTGTAAGACACTCTAGGAATAAATGACAGATGTCATTCTATAAAACCTGTATTGAGATGAGGTCTTGTAAATTATCTTTTAGTGAGCAGCTTAGGTCTGCCACGAGCAGCACACTTGGCAGGCTCTTCAGCAGTGTCCTTTGTCTTGATGGAGGCAGGACAGCTGACAGTGGTGATTTGCTGTCCCACCAAGAGCACCTGCCTGAGATTGCATAGTGGGATGCTGTGACCACCTCTTGGCACTTCTGTTTTCTGGAGGCAGGGGCTGGCTCATACTTTGCTTTGTGTTCATACACTGCTTAGCACAGTGGCTTCTGATTGATTACGGGGCCTCCTAGGTGCCAGTAACACAAGCAGTAGTTATTATACCGTGGCCATATTTTAGTGTTTCTCTATCATATCCTGTTGCAGTCATCAGTGGATAACATAAATATGTCAGTGGGTGACAGTGGGTCCCTTAGCTTCTATTTTTGGTTATATTTGCGGGAAAAAAGGTTTAGAAGATACCTTCTCACTGTTTGGTTCATTGCATTTTGTGGCTCTCCAGAAAAGGACATGGGTGCCACATGCCTTATTAGTAGTCAAACTAACTAGTAGCTATTCTAGTTTTTGCAGTGCTGCAGGAAAACTCTTGTGAAAAAGCAGTACCTTGTCTATTATACAGATTATGTTCAAACACAGGGCAGTTCTGGCCTTTGTGGAACAATGATTAACACATCAAAGGAGGCATAGGTGGGGTCATGTGACATTTGCTGGAATGACAGCTGCCTAATTTTGACAATCTTTCATATCAACAACAACAAAACAAAACAACAACAAAAAAAAAAAAAACCAAAAAAAAAAAAACTTTGAGGCAAAAGACAAATATTTTAAAGCTTAAACTGACTGCTTGGAAAAAAATGGAACATACCCTACGGAGCAATAAAATGACATGATTACAGAGACATATATTTAAAACTCTTTCCTTTATACTGAGCACTAACTTTTCCTTTTATCATGCCTTTTTCTGTCACAAAGGAATATTACTAATGAACTGCAGCAGTAAGTTTCAGGCTCTTTTCTCTCATATTGCAAGAATACATTACTGAGTGACATACAGTCATGCTTCCCATGCTATTTGACAGAAGTCACTTGATTAGGCACTCACATAAAAAAAATTGAAAAGAAAGGATAAAACATTATCACATGTAAACAATGTTCTGGTCACGGAAATTCACTTCTGCTTATTTTCTCCTTCTCTTTCTAGTTTTTCTGTGGTTTATTTTTTCACAAAGAATTGTCTGTCATTTTTATCAGGTCCTTTTATATCACAGCTCAGTGTTCTGATGTGTGAAGTGCTAAGTATTTTCTACTTTTTTACGTTAATATTCTTATCATCAGCCTACTATAGAATAACAGACATCTTAAAATAACATGAGTTTTCACAAAAGGGTTATTATCTTTCCTGAACTATGTTTTAGCTGTCTTCCAGAGAAGAGAGAAATCCCTTAAGATACAGATCCCTAAAATGAAATTCTGAAGGAAGTAGCATATAATATGTTACCATAACACAGTGTTTTCCAGCATTTTAAATTAGTGGCATGCTGTATGTTGACACCAAACTATTGTAACAATGTTAGTCGGCCTGCAGTGTGAGACAAATGATGTTCTCAGACTCCCATTCATTTATTTAATAGTATATATTAAATCTGTTCCCATTTACTGACTGGGCAATGGAATGGAATATTACCCTATCTCAGAGGACACTAATTCTTAAACTATGCAAAAATATTATTATATAGCTCATTTTATGCAGAAATCTTATTATCCAAGAACAATCTGTAGTGTGCTGGTCCTCCCAGGAACTTCATAACCACCATGAAGCCTTCCTGGAAAGGTAGGACAAGTGTACAGTTACCCAGTAATTACAGGATAATTGACATTTTCAATCTTTCAAAAATCAGATGTAATTTAATCCAGATTCTATAAAAAAAGAGTAGGCCTCAACAGTGAAATGCAAATACAGAATTGATGGCCTATCAAATTGTTGCTGGTGGGTTCTGTGGTACTAGTCTCAGCTCTTAACCCAGCCCATAGGGAGAAAGGCAGGGGAATCTAGACCATAGAGCTGTGTAGCACTTAGCTTCAGCTACAAAAGCCGTGGAAATCCCTGGCAAAATGTACATTTCTTCCTCACAGTCTCTCCCTTCAGCCGTGTGTTTCTAATCTATTGCATGAAGTGGTTTACAGGGCACTGTAAGATTTTAAGATGCAATAGGAAAAGACCATGAAAGTGAGGAAGGTGGATCAGTGTTTGTGACTTTGTAGGTAGAGAAGAGAGTGTGAGAAGCTTGAACAGAGGGAATGGTGTAGCCATGGACCTGCAGGTGCTCTCAAGGCCCACGCCATTGTACTTACAGAGAAGTTAACTCATTGTGACACTGAATAAGAGAATGCATTTAATTTCATGCACATGAAAAGTACAGATAGCATGGCAGAGAAAGCTTGTTATTTTAAATAAAGGATGAATATTTTTACCTACTTTCAGTGAATATCCAATCTTGTATTGCCTAAGAATAACAACAGAAAGATAATAATGCTGCTTGCTGTGAGGTCCACTGCAACTGTTGCCTAAAAGGGCAGGAAATGCAGAAAGATGGCAGGGAACTTGAAACAAATCTTTGGCAGCTTCTGCTGCTATTAAACATGAGCTGAACCAGGATATCAATATAAGCATTCAAAATGCAATAGAAAATAGACAGAAATAATAAGAATAATATTTCCTCTAATATACATAACTCAATCTCTAAAAGTAAAGAACTCTGGACTTCTTGGAGCAGAATTTATTCTGTAAGAT